TCTAAATTCAATGAATTGAAGTACAAATTGCTTGATCATCCACCGTATTCGCCAGATTTGGCACCCAGCGACTTCTATCTGTTCCGAAACCTGAAACAATTCCTCCTCGCGGAAAGCATTTTTTGTCGAATGAAGAAGCTATAGCAGCCGTAGAGGCATATTTCGCAGACCTTCCAGAAACACACTTCCGCGATGGAGTAAAATTACTGGAGAGCCATTGGGCCAAGTGTATTGAAGTTAACGGAGACTATATTGAAGAATAAAATCATTTTTAGAATTTGGTATTCTTTATTTCAGTTTCGCTCCGCGAATTTTTCACGCAACCTCTATGTATATATTGGGGGAGAAAAGTGATAATCAATAAAATATAATTAGCTACGTGTACATCTCAGGCCGCTGTTACTGGAGCTTCCAAGCTCCTCATCTCGTTTATCATTGCTTGCCGTTATAATTGGAGGATATCCTGAACCGCTATAATTAACTTGACCTACATTATAAAACTGGCACATAACGAGTGTCTACCTTGCTGTGTATCTTTATTAATTAAACGCACATTCGTGTATCAAAATGACGTAGTCGATACAAACTGGTGCTGATGGAGAATAGCTGGAGTAATGTCTCTTAATACAATCGTTTCGCGACGTTTAATTCCATTCGAATGCGACGTCGGGCAGACGGAGATTGACGTGGAGTGACGACATTAACACGAAAACAATATTAACCGTGTGAATCGAGGCGAATCGAATTCGACCCGGGCGAAAACACGTAAGACGTTAAACTGAAAAAGTATTACGTATGTTCGCGACGTCGACGGATGGTGCGCAGCCGGTCGCCGGGCCGAGAAAAGAACATCAAAGACTACGAAGACAACCAACTTCGTGCATGCGAAATCTCGAACTTAGAGACCGTCTACTACTACTATTACTACTACGACGACGACGACGACGACGACGACGACGACGACGACGACGACGACATCTCGCTTTGCCAAGCCCCGCGGAAATAATTCCGGGCGAGGGTGAACGGAAGAGAACAGAGCGGCGTTGCACCGTCACGTGAACGGGACACGCGGCCAGGAAAATGGTCGTGTCACAGACAGAATAAACGCGGGAATACGACGGAGAACAGATTTATCGATCAGCGCTGCCGCGAGGACGGGACAGGGCGGCCGATTCTTTTCGAACTCGCGCGTCTATTTTGCATACGAAGCGCGCGCGCGCGCGCGCCAGCAAGAGTCCGTCCGCCTCACGAAAATCCACTCGTCGAACGTTAAAAAGCGGGACAAGCGCCCCGACTTCCGTCAGCCGTCGCCGGGAGACGGAAGAAAGCAGATGGAAAAATGCAATCTGCGACTCGCGAATACGCGAAATTGCCGGGACGAAGACGCGGTGCCTCGGTGGCGGTGGCGGTGTTATAGCGTAGCGCGGCGCGCCGCGACGTGTTTGCACGATGTCGGAAAATCGCGGAGTCGCGTTACGAGGGTGATAAAAATTTCGAGCGGTGCGACCCATTTCGCGGCTCTATGAATATCCAAATGAAATTTCCTTCCCTACGAGATTGAAACCGCAACGATGAACGCGCACAACACAGTGTGTGTGTGTGTGTTTGTTTCGAGACAACCCGCTGTGTATAACTGTGAGAAGGATTCTTTGGTCGTCTTTTGTCTGAAACGCGCTACCTGATAATTGCTCTCTTCAACTTTCGCCGGCGCATATAGACGCCTAGAAATTACGCGTCCTCGTTGCAGTCGCGTGATCTATTCATGCGCGCGTTGCGTGATCTCCCGCAGCGAATTATATTCTCATCGCTGGAATCTGCCGCAATCAACAAACAAACGCACGCGAAGAGAGCGCACGTTTCAACGACGCGACTCCGTCGCAACGACGTCCGCTTCTAGCTTGGAAAATACACACGCGAGATTAACGCCTAACTCCGCGGTCCGCGCGATAAAAGAGTAATCGGTCGGTGAGAAGATATATTTACACGCAGCGCGCGGTATACCATTCATTACGCGCGTTATATTTAATTTATAACGTCATCGGCATACGTATACGTATAACCGCCTACTGGCTTTTTATTATATATGCAAATGTATATACATTATGATTAATAATAATTTATTCATCGATTTACCTTGCTAATTAGAAATCTGCTAATAGGTCAATGACTCCTCCATAAATAGCAAAGCGGTTTAACGAACAAATATTATTAGCGCGCGAAATTACGCAAATTGATCAGACCAAACGTGGAAATGTCCAGCATCTTCGGCAACGGAAGCGAATAACACCGCGATGCTGAAACACCGAATATGCGATAACAATGTCAAATTGATTAATGGCGGTTCCGACTATCCCCCGAGCCACACCAGCCCCACTCATGTCACCCGCGGAATTTGGAGGCCCGCTTGGTAGTTTGAATAATACTCATTAAATCGATACTCGCCAATAACACACACGTAGAGCATACGCACGGCCGAATTGCGGCCAAACGTATTTTTACAGTCCCCATGGAGAGAAAGTTATTACGTTCGCTGCACCCGAAAGCCTAATGGAAAAAACGGCCGTCTCCTCTCGCGGTTGCGACGAGAGAAAGATGGAACGAGAGAGAACCAGAGAGAGAGAGAGAGAGAGAGAGAGAGAGAGAGAGAGAGAGAGAGAGAGAGAGAGAGAGAGAGAGAGAGAGGGAGATAAAGAGAAAGAGAAAATTCTGCTTGTTTTCCTCCTGCGCTTCGCACCCTGAATTTACCTCGCCCGGGAAACGTAACGAGTCCGGAGCCTTTTTTTGCCGGTCCGTTGGATCCACGTAGGTAGGTATACGTAGCACAGTGCTCGGCAGGGCAAATTGCTTTCGAAACGGAAGACTGCCCCGGGGCAAAAGGGAGCTTTAAGGGAAAATGATTCGCGTTGTCGCTCGGCCGTGAACGAATAGTCTCTTTCTCTCTCTATCTTTCCTTCCTTCTTTCTCTTCCCCCTTCTCTCTCTCTCTCTCTCTCTCTCTCTGTGTCTCTCTTTCTCTCTTTTCCCACTCTCGCCTCTCTCTCTCTCTCTCTCTCTCTCTCTCTCTCTCTCTCTCTCTCTCTCTCTCTCTCTCTCTCTCTCTCTCTCTCTCTCTCTCTCTCGTTTTCCTTCTCTCTAAACTCTCCTCCGTTCATCCACTCCTCTCGTCTGACTCCTCCTCCTGCTGCTGCTGCTGCTGCTGCTGCTGCTGCTGCTGCTGCTCTTTCTCAAGGTAACATTTCTTATCCGGCATTTCTTTTTTGACTTTCGCCACATCTCACTTTCTCTCCCTAGCCGTCAGATTACGAATACCCGCAAACGCTCTTCATCGCATTCAATTCTCGGCCGAGCCCGGGCGACACCGCGAAGCCAACGGTTATACTCTCGGAACCATCCATCACACCGGAACGCATTTGAACGAAAAAGACAGCGACAGACTGCGGGTCGATGATGCGCGAGATAACGTCAACGTTGCTCGATATTGGATAAACGATGCGCGCCTTGTTATAGAAGCGAATTGTGAATTCAATTCCCAATGCAGGCGCAGCTTGATACGATAACATTCAGCGTTTCGGAGCGCGGCGAGACGCCGATAAGTAAAGTTACGTCACGAACTAATAATTATCTAAATCTATGTCAGAGCGTTACCACGCGGTGGGGTGCATTCGCGAGGAGCACGAGCCGCCGCGACTCGAAATCTCCCCTCCTTCCTTCCAATTAAGCGCGATTCGCAATTATCCCAAGAACGCGTATTCCACCGATGCCGCGCGCTGAGAGATTCGTCCGCTCAGCTCGCTCGTTGCTCCGACGCGCCTCATCTTATGATTCGCCCCCCCTCCCCCCTCCCCCCCCCAGCTCCGTCTGGAGCTCCGCTTTGCGTCGGATCTTCAGCGTCGGAAATTTTATTTTTGCTCGCGCGACTCGCCCCGAGTTATAACGCGCGGCACAATACGCGACGCGGCGCAAAATGTGTCGGCTCGTCCGCTCGTTCTCTCTCGCCGCGCGTCGTGTTTCTCGCCGTTTAACGGACACTTCGGCTATCTGCTCATGGCAGATTACAATTTCCACGCACGCGCGCGCACGGAACTGCGCGTGTGCGCAAACAGGCGGGTGTGCAATATTTTTAGCGAAACGTTCGCGCTCGGTTACTCCCTCCCCTCTCTTTCTCTCTCTCTCTCTCTCTCTCTCTCTCTCCCCCTCTCACTCTCTGTGTGTGGCTAGACGCCGGCGCTCTTCAAAGCGGCGATAAAATGAGACGGACAGGCTGATAGTGAATGACGCGCGCGAGCCGGCCGCGATGCGCTTCCGCGCGCCTCGCTTGGCGCATTTCCTATCGCGATATGCGGCGGAAGTATTGTCGAAAATCGATTAGTCCGAATGTATCGCGTGATTAATGACGGAAAGTGATATCCGCCGGAGTGAATTGCGAATTCCGCGGAGCGCGCGCGTGCGGCCGACGCGAGAGAGATATCGTGTGTCAATTAACACGTGCCACGTGACAGGCGAATTGCGACGGGGCGGTGCGTGTCCCACATCGCGTCGTAAGGATCTCCGATCACGTGTCTTTTATTAGCGCGAGACGCGGCTGAGGATTCGAATTAAGCCACGATCCATCCAGATCCGATGTTAAGAGATCAAGACCGATATTAGAAGATGCTAAGTTGAGTGATGTGAAAAAGCACTCCCGAGTTTCGGGCTCCACACCGAGCCCGTAAATTCGGCCGAACTTGAAGGACCAACTGAGAGATGAGACATCGCGATAGCGCACACCCGTGTGATCGCTCGCTGTCCTTATCCTCCGCATTGAAATACTCGCACACAGAGACGCGCTTGTTTTCGAATCATCTGACACTAATCTAATCTAATTAGCTAATTGTCTAATAATGTAATTTAATACAGGCGGAATATGGAGGTGAGCGAAAACCGAATAATTCTGAGTCCTTCTTTGAGGACAGCCGAACACGGCGAGAGCGGTAGTAAGTAAGTAAGTAAGCAAGCACTCACAGCGGCAAGGGAAGATGTTACATCTCACCGTCGATCCTCCCCAAGCCTCTGACGGAATTTGCAGGGTTAACGTGGGACTGCAATTTCGACTCGGGCTCATGTTGATTCGCCGCATGTGTCCGCGGCGCGCGTGTATCAGCGCTTTTTAAAGCCCGTACGTATCACGCCGACTTATATTTCATCCTCGCCTGAAGTTTCGCGCAGAGAGCACCGTGTTTTCCGTCGTTTTCCGACTACTTTAACGCGCGCGCGCTCGAGAGGGGCGGCCTGCACATTTTTCACCGCGCGAAAAAAATATTACACACACGCGCAAACAGCCGTAACGTAACGCGCGGTGGCGTAACTTTTATTGCTAAACGCTCGCATAGTTGACGCGCCTTCGCCCGTGTCAAAACGGTGATAAAACAAGAGTGATGCTCGTGGCCAGTAAGTGGCAGGCTTCTGCGCGCAACATCGGTCGTCGGAAGTAATTAAAACTGTGCACCACCACTGTGCACCTGCGCACATCATCCAAATAAAGCCCACCACCACGGGTGCGGTGCGTTGTGCGCGTTTCTTTTTTTTTTTCTTTTTCCCGTAGCGGTCCGCCAATGCGGAAAAAGCGCGCATCGTGTGCCGTAGGCTTGAGTGTATCGAGTATCGAGTATCGCGCGCGTTTAACACGCAAAAATGAATTTTAACTGGATTAACGAGAGCAGCGAGTAACGGGAATTAAAATGTTACCGGCTATCGATTCTAATACGGCCGTTTGACCGACAATATCGCGCATGGGACACGTCGCGGGGGGGGGGGGAAGGGGGGACAAAAGCGAGCACAGAAATGGCTGCGTTCAGTAGAATAAAATGATCAGTGAGTGCTTAGTGATTATTGTCTGTGATTGGAACATTCTTCTAAATTCAGAAGTTTATAGATCCAGAAGTATTTACCAATCGGGAGCGAGAATCACTAAGCGCTCACTGATCAGTCTTGTTCCATTGAACGCAGCCGTTGTGTCGAAGAAACGCGCGCGTGCGCACGAACGTGTGACAAGCAGTTAAATTGAAAATTTAACATGTTCTCCGGAAGACTGTAGTTTGAAGCTATCGCTACTTTGCAAACTACTTGATCCCATTACACAAACTCCCTGGACTATTTGCGAGCGCCTCTAAGATTGGACGGATTATCTCGGCGGAGGAGGAGAAATGGCCATTTAACATAATTCGAATACTCGGAGATTCAGTTGGCGTAATGCAAATTCCATCGCCCAGCTTGGTTATTTAATCTTTACTTCGCAACTCACGTTCCGCAACCATTTCAATCGAATGACTGCTCACAAGTGCGACGTTAATGTCCGCGATCTAATAACGAGAGCGCGCTCTCGTAATTTTGATATATGAGGTACAAATGCGCACCGCGTGTGACGCGTATATCGCGTCGCAGGATGTGATGCGCGATCCGTTTAGCCGGAAACCTTGCTCGCGATACCGAAACCGTCTAGCGATTTACGATGCGCCGTAATGACGCTTTTCCGTTAAGATGCGACTGCGGACGGGGAAAAAAGAAGAAGGAGGATACGAAGATCGAGGAGTAAGCGCAACATTCGCGAGACTTTCATCCGCCGCTTAACCGCTTCTATCGTCCATTGATTTTCTTCGCTGGAAAAAGACTATAATTACGCAGCGACAACGTTGCGCGACTGGCGCGCAATCCAGACGCGTTATTTCAAATTCAGAGGGAAGATAACGGGACAGCAACGGTAGCAATTAAATGCAAATTGACATCGCGTGCTGGTGCTTTTCATCTTCTTGCCGCGACGAATTAACAAGCACAAACAAGGACGAGGACAGAAAACATTATCCGCCGCAACGGGATTTTGAAAACAATGGGACGAAACAGGACAGGGCGTGAAGCTATATTAAATTGTTAACGACGTACCCTGAGATTGCGCCGCTGACATATCTACGTCGCTGTCGCCGGCGACACTCCGCCCCCTACATTTTAGTCGACACAGTTACGAATTCTATTTGTCCCCGCGTAAAAATATGACGAATACTTTTTTTTTACGGTGGCTATTTTTTTCAATCCCCCCTGCTGTACCCACTGTCGCGAGAGAGAGAGAGAGAGAATACAATTGCGGGGATACACGCGCCTGTGCATATAGAGACGAGTGTTATATAATACACACACACACACACATACATATATGTATATACATATATAGGACGACTCGTGTAAACATTTAGAGTCGGTATTCGCGCTAGTGCAGCTTGTAATATGCTAGGAGCGACGTACAGTATCGATTATTTTTAAAAATAACGCGTGCCCAAATAAATTGCGACGACATGAAAACGGTGCAATCGGTGCACCGGTCGGCGGAGTGTCGTGGCTTTTCGCGCTCGTCTCGTACGGAAACAGAAAAAAGTCTGCCTCGTTATAAATACCGGATAATTACCGTCGTGCAACCGTTCAACGAGAAACGCGCGGGCCGCGAGGGGCGCAAATGGGGGGGGGGAGGGGGCCCATTGTGTTCTTTCCTCGCATAGCGGTTGATTTCACGAGAGAACTACGAAACTTTCGACGGTATTAAGCAACCTAAAATCAAGTTTTCTTCGATGAAAATGTCGATGCGCCAAGAGTTCTTGAGAGTTACAGACCGTAGAAAGCAAAACGTTCTTCTCGCGAGCCGAGCTCTCAGGGCGAAGCAAGCGCCCTGATAACAAAAGCCCCGTCGTCGTCGCTCGATTTCCCATTTCGCATTCGGCGGAATTTTAATCCCAGACTCGAGTTACCACCAGGCGCATGTAACGTCGAAGATGAAAAAAAATCGCGGAAGTAAATACCGACGCGCCGTTCTAGAATCACCCTCTTATACGCCAGCCGGCCAGTCAGCCAACCGCGTCGCGACGGCGACGGCGACAACGACGTCGACGTGATGCTGAGACACTTGTTTCAGCGACGAAGAGGGATGGGGAAGACAGGTAGGAGTCGGCGCGTCAACGACATCGATAAAGTGGCCCGATAAAAACGCATCGGAGAGGTTCGGTCTGAGAGCGGCGGAGGAGCACGGAGAGGACAATCTCTCTCTCCCTCTGTGTAAGATGGAAGATTAACGTTGACTCGAATAAGGTGGAATAGGCGGCCCGACGAGGGGAAAACGCGCGGCCCCCGGCGCGCGGCGGCTGGAACGCCTGGGGTGGAACGGGATTTCGCGCGGAGCGTCCGACGTCCTCGAGACGTGAGATGTGATAACGACTGGCGGCTAAAACTCCAATTTAAATCGCTTCGAGCAGGATTACCCGCGACGTTTTCTCTCTCCCCCTTCCTCTCTCACGTTTCGCTCCCGCCGGTCGAGTCGGCATTCTTGGCAAATTCACGCAGCCTTCGTAATCGCGGACGAGTGAATAACTTCGGTGTTTGCGCGCGATATCGGATGCCAATTGCGCAATCGCGCGCGAGATCCGCCTAATAAGAATCGAAACGCGTTCTTCGTCCTGCTCCTCTCTCCTGTCATGCCAAATCGACGAGACGCTGCGAGAAGCTGCTCTTTATACCGGCGAGATGCTTGGACACAGAGCCGCTGTGTCTTGCTTGCGGTCGTGCGGGTAAAAAAAATTGCCGACATGAAACGCGTGTCATTTTAAAGGTATCCCGGGGCGACGCACGGACGAAAAGAATCACGGCTACGTCGCGTTTCTGAATGCGAGAACCGTGGCACGGATGCACAGCGGAACGACGTACGTAAATTCACAGACCGCTTACTTCCAGCGAACTTCCCGTCGCGACGTTGACGGATGCTCGGCGATGGGGAAGAACGCGGCGGAAGGAGAGGCGGAGGCGGACGGGAAGCAGGAGAGGTTGAGATTTCGCGAATCTTTCGCCGGGAGAAATCGGGTTTCGAGTGGCGGCGAGTAATAGAACGGCGCGGAAAAGTAAGAGACCGTCTCGCCCGGACTCGCTGCGACACGGGGACAGGGGGGGGGGAGGAGGAGGAGGGCACACACGGGGAAAACGGGCGAGGTTTTATATTCAGCCTGAGAGAGCACGCGAACAGGGATGACGCGCGTGAAATTGTCGAGCGGCCATTTAACGCCGGTAGAAGAAAGAGGAACCGCTCGCAATTTCATGGCGATTTGCTGCCTTCCGAGTCGGCGGTAATTCCGACGATCGTCCGTCCCTTCTTCCGATTTGTTTGCCTGTCTCGCGGAACGCGAAGAAATGAGATTCACCGCTGTGAGCTCTTTGGGAGGATCTCAGCCCGGCGGAGACCCTCTTGGGAAAAATTCCCCGAGATTCGTCCGAGGAAAAACTGCTAATTGTAAGACTCCTTATGGGAGTGCATAAACAGAGTAGATTTCCCTAACTGGCTAATTTCGGCTACGAGCGGCTCGTGGAATTGCACGGCCATTCTCGGCCGGCGTGTAAGAAGTCTTGAGCTTCCCTCGCCTTTCTCAATGCCGTTGCATAACAATTTCAAAGGAGGAGGGGAAGAGAGAGAGAGAGAGAGAGAGAGAGAGAGAGAGAGAGAGAGAAAGTTCCTTCGACGAGAAATATGTATTCGATAAAACAATATCTTATTCCTGACGTGTCTAAAAATCGAAAAAGTCGCGGATAGTGTTCCGTAATCCGCGGTAAAAAATGTTGAAGCGCGCAGTGGATAAGCATGATGGATCAGCATAAAGCTGACGCGGGAGAGATAAGGGAGAAAGAAGAGAATAACCTCCGCTCATAATTTCATGCGCAGGGTTTGTTCTCCTCCGCTACAACGTTCGTGATTTTAACGGCTGCTATATCCGTTCGCGATTTTCCTATCCTTCTTTCTCGGTATGAGCTACGTACTTGCAAAAGAAAAGGAAAGAGGGAGAAGGGAGGAGGAGGAGGAGGAGGCGCGGGAGAGAGAGAGAGAGAGAGAGAGAGAGAGAGAGAAAGGGGGGAGGATTCTCTCTCGGAATAAACGGGTTTTAAGATCCTCATCGAGCCGAGCTCTTATCTTAAAAAGACTCTTCGGATGGTTTTAAAGCCCATTTAACGTAAGAAAATTCCTCGCTAGGAGTCAGTTACCAACGCGACAAGCTAATACCCCGATCGAAATGAGGTATCTCGTACGGACGATGGGCGCGCAATCGGGCAGAAATTAATCTCGCGACGTCACGCGACTTGCCGATAAGAACGGATAATACGACTTTAACTGTTCGTTCGTCCGATTTTTCTCGCCCGTCTCGACGACTTGAATTTATCGTATCGACTCGCCGCCGTCGACGTCGCACGCACGCCGGACTATAAAGCGAGAACCGCGCGACGCGCGCAGTTCCGCTTCTCGCGTTTGTGACTAATTCGTCCGAGGCGTAAAGTAGCCGTGATCAAGGAATATCGTGTCGTTTCGCGGCTACGAGCGATCCCAGTGACGCGCGACATCGCCGTTCGCGAGGAAACGGCGAGGCCGTAAAGCGCGACGAAAGCGCGCACTGCTGCGCACGTTCCGCTCGCCTAATGACGGCCGATGACAGGCGAGAACCCGATGCCCATTGACGTTTAACGATGGACGGTTTAACGAGCGATCGGCCGCGTTGCCGGCATATCGGAAGGCGATCCCTGCCGTGCCGAGAGTGACGCGTGCTTTTAATACCGGCCGCAACGAGGCCGCGTGTCTGACCTATTGAATCGGAGATCGCCATTGCGGAGGCCGGCCGGAAACAATCGCGACGCTCGGATCCGGTGATTAAGCCGTATGTCCGAGTTAATGAAAGTTGATTAAACATCGCTCG